AAAGAATAAAATACCTAGGAATAAACCTACCTAAGGAGACAAAAGACCTGTATGCAGAAAACTGTAAGACTCTGATGAAAGAAGTTAAAGATGATACAGATGGAGAGATATACCATGTTCTTGGATTGGAAGAATCAACATTATGAAAATGACTATACTACCCAAAGCAATCTGCAGATTCAGTGCAATCCCTATGAAACTACCAATGTCATTTCTCACAGAACCAGAACAAAAAATTTCACAATTTGTATGGAAACACAAAAGACCCCGAATAGCCAAAGCAATCTTGGGAAAGAAAAATGAGCTGGAGGAATCAGACTTCCAGACTTCAGACTATACTACAAAGCTACAGTAATCAAGACAGTATGGTACAGGCACAAAAACAGAAATATAGATCAATGGAACAGGATAGAAAGCCCAGAGATAAACCTATGCATGTATGGTCACCTTATTTTTGATAAAGGAGGCAAGAATATACAATAGAGAAAAGACAGCCTCTTCCATAAGTGGTGCTGGGAAAACAGGACAGCTACATGTAAAAGAATGAAATTAGAACACTTCCTAACACCATACACAAAAATAAACTCAAAATGGATTAAAGATCTAAATGTAAGGCCAAACACTATAAAACTCTTATAGGAAAACCTAGGCAGAACACTCTATGACATAAATCACAGCAAGATCCTTTTTGACCCACCTCCGAGAGAAATGGAAATAAAAACAAAAATAAACAAATGCGTCCTAAATAAACTTCAAAGCTTTTGCACAGCAAAGGAAACCATAAACAAGACCAAAATACAACCCTCAGAATGGGAGAAAATATTTGCAAATGAAGCAACTGACAAAGGATTAATCTCCAAAATATACAAGCAGCTCATGCAGCTCAATAACAAAAAAACAAACAACCCAATCCAAAAAATGGGCAGAAGACCTAAATAGACATTTCTCCAAAGAAGATATACAGATTGCCAACAGACACATGAAAGAATGCTCAACATCACTAATCATTACAGAAATGCAAATCAAAAGTATAATGAGGTATCACCTCACACCACTCAGAATGGCCACCACCAAAAATTCTACAAACAATAAATGCTGGAGAGGGTGTTGAGAAAAGGGAACCGTCTTGCACTGTTGGTGGGAATGTAAATGGATACAGCCACTATGGAGAACAGTATGGAAGTTCCTTAATAAACTAAAAATAGAACTACCATACGACCCAGCAATCCCACTACTGGGCATATACCCTGAGAAAACCATAATTCAAAAAGAGTCACGTACCAATATGTTCATTGCAGCTCTATTTACAATAGCCAGGGCATGGAAGAGATGAATGGATAAAGAAGATGTGGCACATATATACAATGGAATATTACTCAGTCATAAAAAGAAACAAAATTGAGTTATTTATAGTGAGATGGATGGACCTAGAGTCTGTCATACAGAGTGAAGTAAGCCAGAAAGAGGAAAACAAATACCATATGCCAACACATATATATGGAATCTAAAAAAAAAAAAAAAAATGATGGCTCTGAAGAACCTAGGGGCAGGACAGGAATAAAGATGCAGACGTAGAGAATGGACTTGAGGACATGGGGAGGGGGACGGGTAAGCTGGGACGAAGTGAGAGAGTGGCATGGACCTATATACACTACCAAATGTAAAATAGCTAGTGGGAAGCAGCTGCATACCACAGGGAGATCAGCTCCGTGCTTTGTGATCATCTAGAGGAATGGGATAGGGAGGGTGGGAGGGAAACGCAAGAGGGAGGAGATATGGGGATATATGTATCTGTATAGCTGATTCACTTTGTTATAAAGCAGAAACTAACACACTGTTGTTAAGCAATTATACTCCAATAAAGATATTAGAAAAAAATCATTATGTTGTACACCTGAAACTAAAAAAAAAAATTAAAAAATAAAGAAAAGATTACTAGGAATAGTGAATGGAATTCCAAAGTGAAGAAAATGTGTAGAAGATGAAAGGTATCCCCCCAAAAAGGAAAGTGATAACTGAATAATTGGAGAATAAAAGTACTAAAAATCAACACTAAAATGCCCCACATGCTATGAAGCTAAAACCCATCCAAAAGCGCCTTCTTAAGAAAAGTACTGAATTTTTTTCACCTGGAGATATTTATTAAGAATATATCTCCAAATTTATAATCAAAGTCCAGAAAGGAAATACAATAACTCTTTATAGATAGTCCCCAAATAAGAAACATGGATGAAATCCATCTGGCCCATTGGAAGTAGAGCTGCAGGATAGAGTATTTTTAAAATTTAGCTTTCTTGATTCTCTTAACGATGTCCTTTATAGTTAAAGTAACTTATTTTAAAATTATACACCTATCTCTGCATTTTAAAGATGTTGTTTTTTTTGTAGGTTTTATTTGGTTTTTTGTTTGTTCATTTTTTGATAAAGAGAGGTGGGTGGGGGAAGTGAAATGGAATAGACACTGGGTCTCCACAACAGCCTAAGATCTTAAAAATAAAACAAGTCGACACAAGTAAAGATAAAGACCAGAAACAGCCACCCATCTTGCTCCTAGTGTCAGCCTGCCCAAAGCAGAGCCAGAGCTACACGTGGGCGGGGGAGACAGCCTGGGTTGTAAACTGCCACAATGGATAATGGAGAAAAACAAGACTACCTGCCACAAATGGTACCCAGTTGAGATAATTCAGTTTGTCAGTTTGGGTAGCTAATAAGTCTCCATTACAGTTGGATACATGGGGAGAATCCAGTTTCATCTATATAAAAGAATCAATCAATCCTAAAAGCACTGTCTTTGTCAGCTTTGGAGTACTAACCTCCCCAGAGACAGAGACCAAAAGAGCTAAAGTCTTGTGAGCCTCACCCCCCAGCCCTTGCCTTCATCGGAAATCATAAAATAGACATATAAGTGAGATTCCAGGCATGCTGAACACAGTGTAGCCTGAGAGACAGGGCTCTGGGGAGCTCAGAGGAGCCGCAGTGGGCAGCTCCGAAGCACAGCTTGCCTGATTTTCTGACATCACTGAGACTCCTCCTAGCTACAGCCATGCTGATCACTGTCTGAGCTCTCTCAGGAATAAATGAATTTAGTTAAGCCAATCGTTCTTGTCTCTGGTGTTAATCAAATCCCATGCCATGTATATATGACCCACCTCATTCAAAACAAACTTCTACACTGTTCAGGAAGAGCTGCAGCCCATATCACCCTGGCTTGCTGCTTCAAGTTAGGGCAGTTTTCAAAGTGTTCAAAGCAGAAACAGATGATTCTCCTCTTTGACTTACTTAGTCTGATGCCTTGAGAAATCCTTCCACTGGTGGAAACCTACATAATCAAACTTGGCGGACGTACCCTTAGCAGCTTCGCAGATTAAATAGAATGCTCTTTAGACAACTATAGTCAATGTGAGTTGTCTTTTTAATGTTCTAGGGAGGTTTCCACCAAAGTCCTGCATCTCACATCCTTACTCCAGGATCCGTCAGGGATTGTTGAGTCCAGTTGTCCTTTGTTTATCTTTATCTCTGACAAAATTACTAGATCCAGCAAGCACTATGGAGCATAAAAATCACATAGTACATATACTAATATCTTCTGTATATGAGCTATGTGACTCAGAAGTAAGAGCAAGTGAGATTACACAACCTCTTAGGGAAAATCAGTGAGTATAAGCCCACAGGTTGTGTGTGTGGTTGACCTGTCTATAACTGATGATGCAACTTTGAAGCAAACACCTCCCCATACCAAAAGGCATCCTTAGACAGCAGACAACATTCTTGAGGGGCTGAATTGCTATGTAATTAGAAAGTATGAATGTAGAATAAAACAATCTTGGAAATAAGAGGTCTTGACCAGCACTTTCTCTTGAATAGGGTCACCTTCTTGGAAATGGAGATCCTGTATGTTGTGGAAGGAAAGCCACTTTAAAACATGGCACAAGAACAGCCAGTTACTGAAAGGACCATTACAAAATTATCAACCAATGGTATTCATTGCTCTCACAGTTTAGTTGTCAACCCATTTATCCCAGGAAAAAGATGGCATACAAGAGTGGACAGCATGGAGGTAGAAGCGAGTTGTGTGGAAAGGATTCGGAAATGTGGAAATACTCTTTGTGAAGATCATAAGAAAAAGAAGGGTTGCAGAGGGGACCACTATGGTGTGCTCCCTGGAATAACAATACAAAGCAAGTTTAAAACTCTAAGGATGGAGGAGGCAGTTGTGCAGGGACTGCCGAAGTCAACTTTGAAGGCAACCTGGATTGTGTATGAAAACGCCCACGGCGCCTTCTCCTCCAATGCCACGAAACAGAGACGTCCGGATGCGGGTAGGGGAGGAGCAGCAGTGGGGACCGGGGCCCAGCTGCCGTGGTCAGGACGCAGTGTATGCAGCAGCCTGCTGGTCTCCGGCGGTGCAAGCTTTGGGGCGCGGCCCCTGGGCTCCCACGCAGCCCGCTCCCTGCGCCCCCTGCCGGCCACGTGGACAGTGCGCGCTCCGGCTTCCGCGCCCCAAGCTGACTCTCCATTTCAGCCCAGAGGGAGACAGGGACAAGAGTCTCTTTCTCCTGATGTCACAAAACATTAAAGAAAGAGCCCCCTCCAACCAGCAGTCAAAAACTGATCCCCGAGCTTCGGCTTTCCTGCTTTCCAGGCTTTTCTTTGAGAATAACTTAGTGACCTGGGGGGGAATGATGGGAACCCGAGGCTAACCCTAAAATCATCCCCAGGCATCGAGAGCCCCACATTTTCCAGGCTCGTATTGGAGGGGTGGGGCTTGACTCGGTTGTTTCCGCATTGGCTCGGATTTGGGGGCGGGGGGGCGTCGTAGTGTCCCCGCCCAAGCTGGGCGATCCAACGCGACACCGATGCTGAAAATGGGAGGTGGGTGGGCGCCTCCGGGTCTCCAGCTCCATCCCTCCGGGTCCCCGCCCACGGCCTCTACGGAACAGGCTGCGTGGCAGCTTTTCTCCAGCACGCGGCGCTGCGCTCGCTTTTATCTCCGGAGCCGCGTCTGTTCGTGCGCTGACAGCCGGGCTCAGCCAGTCGCCAGGAATTGAGTAGCGTTCTTTGAATCTGCGGCTTTCATGACGTCTCCCTGCGTGGTCCATCACTTTTCTCCTAGCCGGGGATTTTTTTTTTCCGCCACTCTAGCCTTTTCCCTCTTCCCTCCACCCGGTCTCCCTCCCCCGCCCCTGCCCGAACGCACACCCCTCCGCCCCTCCGTTGGCCCCCGCGCCCAGCCCTCCTCTCCACTCTCGGCCAGAGGGAGCCAGTTTGAAGACGGCCGCACCTGGCCGGAGAGGTTGGGCGGGCGGAGGGGTGGGATCCGCGGGACCCGGGAAGATAGACCCAGACCTGGATGCACCGCGAGGAGAATGGAGTCTCCTAAAGCCTCCCGGGGCTGATGTAAAATTTGACCATCTGATTCCAGTTTTCCTTCCCTTTTCTTTTTTTATTTCCTCCCCTCGCCATCCATCGTGTAGTGAATTATTAAACCTTGCTCCGTTCCAAGAGGGGAGATCATGATTGAATGAAGCCACCAAGTCCGCAGCAAGGTAAGCGGTGCGCTGAGTTGCTCGAAGGCAAGAAGCTGGCATCAATCTGGGCAAGAGGTTCTGTGCCCTCGGGTCCCCAACTCCCCTTCCCCAGTTTCCGCCGCTGCATGCATCTCCACTCATGAGAAACAGGATGCCCAAGTCAAGGGAAAGGCGAGGGAGAAGCAGGTTACATAACAGAAGGGAAATCTGTTTCATACGGTTCTCATTAGCAACTGAAAACTCGCAAGGGGGGCGGGGAGAGGAGGGGGTCTGCATGCCCAGGGCCCGGAGAGACCCAGTCAGTTATTACAGACATCATTTCAACATCCGTTGGCAAAGATGAAATGCACGGATTAACTGGCAGGGGTGGCTTGCTATGTAGTCATTTACAGTTGGGAAAAGCCCATTGTCTTTGTGGAAAGCTGTATCCTTGTTCTTCTTTGCGTATAGGAGCAGAAGAGAGAGAGGAAGGAAGAGAGAGAGGGAGAGAGAGAGAAAGAGAGATAGGGAGAGAGAGAGAGAGAAAGAGGGAGAGAGAAACATGAGGAGGAAAAGGAAAAGTGAGGGCTGGGGAGAAACAAGCAGAGAATGGGAAACAATAACTCCTAACTGTTCTCTATCAATATAGCCAGAGATGTGATATGATGACTACCAACAGTGAATAGGAAGCTCTCCCTAGAAGTAAACTGAATTATTTTGTAATTGGAAGAGAAAAAAACAAACAAACAACAACAACAACAAAAACCCTTCAGATAAAATGAGATGTTTACTGCATTTAGGGGGCTGGATGAATTCACTGGCTTGCTTCCTCCTGGGTATATTTTCATTTGCATCAAGACATTAAGCTTGGATGAGTTTTTAACAGAAATAACATTTGTATTTCCCAAACCCAGTAAAACCTTGGGTTAATCCACAGGTATATCTCTTGTACCGGGTTCAGTAGGGAGAGACTCTTAGGGAGGAAACATATCTTGATAGAAACAGCCACAGTAATGGGGTGAGATTAGTGGAGAAATAAAATACCAGCATTTTCCAAAGAATCCCGCCTCCACTCCCAAAAAAAGGGAGGGGAGGGGGGACTCCAGTACTTAGGAGTTGGAGATTTATTATACATTTACAGTGTCTCCTGCCTGCTTTTACCCAAAGTCTGATGATCCAAGGAGCCACCACAGAACCGGGTGTAATGCCACATTCCAGCTAGCACCATTCCCTGCCTACCTTTCTTCTGAAAAACGGAGAAGAGGGATGCCCAGGAGCTGCTTAGAAAGAAGAAGGGGCTTTGCTACAATCAGGGCTGAGCTAACTAAGCTTCGCCCATTTTGCCTGGAGAAAAAGAGAAAGAGCTCAAGTCTCCATGGCGACCCAGGTGGGAGGGGAGAAGGCAGCTCCAGTTACAAATAAACGTTGTACAAAACTTTCCCAGATCCAAGCAAAGAAATAAGGGAGCTGCGTCCCCTGCGGAGGGTCCCAGGGCATAGGCTTTGCCCAGATTCCTGCCGGCGACCGGCGAGGGGGTGCCTAGGACTGGCCAGTCCCCATCAGACCTCCCAAAGTTGCCCAGGAACTGCTGAGATTGTTGGACAGCGGGTTTCGGATTCAGCACCAAGGCCAGAGCACAGGCGCCCGCATTCCCACCCCGGATGGCTACCCCAGCGAACACTATTAAGTTCCTTTGGTTGCGGGAATTCAATCGCTTTCTATAAAGGAACGATTCCCTTGCCAGTGCAGAATCTGGATATATGATTATGCACGGAATTGCGTGGGACAGAGAAGCTTGCAAATCACCCATTTCACGCATGGCGGTGCATCACAATAGCTATTCAAAGTCAAGAACATTGAAACCGCAAACGATCCGAGCTGAACTGAGAATGGGGAAAATCCCATCCTCCGGGGAGAAAAGGAACACACACACACACACACACACACACACACACACACACACACACACACACGCGCGCGCGCGCGCGCGCGCAGGCACGCACACACGCCACGGATCAGTCCCTGATGAGAGTTGTCTAGTTTCAACCGAGCCCCTTTGGCTTCAAAAGCGTTCATTCATTCCTCACCCTCTCGCTCTCCTCTCTAACTTTTTGTCGGGCTTAGAAGGCAGAAAGGCGCTGTGGGAGAACTGTGGTCAGCGAGATACCGGCCAATCAACTCCTGTCTAAGGGTCCTGAGACCCAGGAGGGTGGAGAAATAGTTTACTCTTAGTCCAGACCTGACAGACTTCTCAGCAGAGCTGGTGAGCTCCAGGAAAGGGAAAAGGGTGTGTTTGTGAGATCAGTGACTAACTTCAAGTCAGCATGTGAACAGAGCGACTACATTTCCAAGGTCGCAGGCATAGTAAACAGAGGAGGAGTTACTTCTCCTAATAGAAACAAGGAAGAAACTGTGCAAGAGGGGTCGATTTACTATCATTCCAGTTCCATTTCAACATTCCTACAGGGGAAACAGGTAAGTTCCTCACGCCATTCTGTCTTCACCTTAGGCAAGACTGGTCTGTGCCACGCCCTCCTCTTCTTTGGTACCAGCTCCTCACACACCCCCTCCCCTGGACTGATACTGATGAGGAAAAATAGTAGAGGAAGGTGAAAGTCACATTTTGAAAGAGGAAGCTTTAAAAGGGGGCATCCAGGTGTTAGAAGGCACAGTTTGAATTACAGAGCCGAGGCACGGTTTGGCAACGGGATGGAGATACTGATAAAGACTCTACAGTACCCCTGGCTGCCATTCTCTTTTGAGGATGCCATTATGCATGTGTGGTCTTGAGCTAGTTCTGGTTTGTTGTTTATGAAGGTAAATGATATGTATCCTGGTTTTCCTTGTTGGGTATTTCATTGCTTTCTAAAGATGATGCATGCAGAGCACTCAGGACTTGGATAAAGCTGTGTGTTTATACCTTCCGGTATTTTTTCTTCCCCTGTGATCACTAGTGAAGGCAGAAGCAATCTATTCTAAATCTGGGCAAAGGGTGAAATATTACACTACATTTACGTTTTGGTTCCTGATGGACATGGACACGTTTGTCTATAATTTAATTTATAAGAGTAGACAGAAGTGATGTATGGAGTATTATTAGGACTTAAACAAGGCAGTTTACCCTGCCTTTGCTGCATCTGATCTTATCAGCAGAAGGAAAGTAGACATTACTTATGAAGATAAATCCAGACAAGAATATGGATTATTAGATAAACAAAGTAGTGTATTTGTGAGTTCTAAAGTTCAATTTCTCTCATGAATTAAAAAAAAAAAGACGGGAATGAAATTGCTCAATCAATTATCTTTAGTTCTGGTAGATTCCATGTTCATGTATTCAGTGCTAATTTACCAAACTATGGTTTGCTTTCTTCCTGGGTGGCTAATTGCTGAGCAAAGTGTCATTATGTCCTGATGACAGTGAATAGCGTACTCCAGAATAATTGGTTTACCCATTTCAAGTAGGATTTGTTAAGGAGAGCAACTTAATTTTATTCCTGCATACCTGGAGCCATTTTGTAATTTTTTAAAATATAATTTTGATACCTCACCCTGGTATTTCCTAAACATCAGTAAATATATGCACTTGTATGACCCAGGTCTTCATTTAATACACAGGACTGGTATAGGCTGTTTCCTTTGAGTATATAAAAATTCTTCAGTTCACTCTCATATTCCTCCCTATCTTCTCACAAACTATCCTTACTTTACAGGATAAAAAGAAAATAAAACATGAAAATAGCTGTTTAATAAGGAATAGAAAAAATGTGTTGGATATTAAAAATAAGTAAATATAAGGGCGGAGGAAGGAATAAATTAGGAGTTTGGGATTAGCAAATACACACTACCATATATAAAATAGATACACAACAGGGGCCTACTGTATAGCACAGGGGACTATATTCAATATCTTGTAATAACCTATAATGGAAAAGAATCTGTAAAAGAACATACATATAGACATATATTCACATCCATATATATAAAACATATATATAACTGAATCACTTTGCTGTACACCTGAAACTAACACAACATTGTAAATCGACATTACTTCAATTATTTTTAAAAGAAAGTAAATACAGCCTTATGGAAGCTTAACCCCATTCACAGGTAGAAAATATTACTTTCTTCAAGGGTTGAATGTTGATAAAATGCATTTTCATGGAAACAAGACAAACCCTCTTTTTCAAAATGAGCAGGTAGGCAAGATAAAGCTTTTCTTTTTTTCACTATTCCTTAATCAAATGTTATGTAAGTACTATGTTGGTTAATAAGGGAAATGGACCAGAGAGAGTCAGAATAAGGGGAAGGAAGGGGGCTAGGGGAAAAGGCAGTTATTTATTTTTACCAGGTTTAAAGTCATGATACTTTTCAAAGCAAGGTAGTTTTTTTAGTTCATTGTATCAGCACTTTAAAGTTCGTGGACTTGAAATGTTTAAATTCAACAAATTTGGGTTTGGCTTACTAAGATGGCATTTACTGTTTCTTTTATTTTTAATAATTTCATTTAAGTACCAAAAGAGAATCGGTTCCATCTCGATTTTTATAAAATTATTAAATTTGGTAGTATCAATAAAAGAGGAATTGGTAAAGTTAAAAAATTATCAAGACACTTCTGTTGAATTAAGGTATTTTTCTTTAATTGTACTTCAAGTATTTAAAGAGATATAAAAATAAAATAAAGTCATTTGGGGGCTTCCCTGGTGGCTCAGTGGTTGAGAGTCCACCTGCCGATGCAGGGGACACGGGTTCGTGCCCCGGTCTGGGAAGATCCCTCATGCCGCGGAGCGGCTGGGCCCGTGAGCCACGGATGCTAAGCCTGCGCATCCGGAGCCTGTGCTCCACGACAGGAGAGACCACGACGGTGAGAGGCCCGCGTACCGCAAAAAAAAAAAAAAAAAAAAAAAAGTCATTTGGGATAAAATACATTTTAAAATGTATTTAAAATAATTAGTCCTAGAAATAATCAGAATTCTGTAGAAAGAAGAGATCATGATAACTGAAGTTAGTGCCTGAATGATATTCTGACTCTCCTCTGA